ACGCGTAATCCGACATGAGACTGTGCTGGCCGTTGAGAGTTCAGAGCCTCTGCTAACCCCCTCTTGCAATACAAGATGTTTCTCTACAGAGAAGAAACGTCAAAGATAGACCACTGGCACAACACATCTCACTACTCCAACCCCACACCTTCATGCTACACTGCACCACCTCAACTCTCAAACATGAAACATGAAATCCATAAAATTGGTCATAAATTATAATCATGAGCCTAACAAAAATTGGTATGGGTTCCTGTCAACAAGCTGGGGTCAGCTCTCTGAAAGAGACTCCCCCCAGCAATCCAGTAAAGCCAGTTTTTCAGGAGTGACTCCTCCCAATAAAAATTATTATGCACCAGCTTTCCGGGAGCATCCCATCAAACCCAGCTTATTTTGGGAGGGATTGCCCCCCCCCCAAAAAAAAACCTGGAATATGAAACAGCTTGCTGGTGGATACTCAAACCAAAGCAAATGTGGAGGAAAACAATCAATATAATACAGCTTTCCAGGAGCAACTTCTCCTGGGATCTCAGTATTGGGAGAGGATCCTCCTGTAAAACAGGCTTATGTAACAGCTCACCAGGAGGGGCTCCTCCTGGCAGGCTGGTATTAAATCCATCTTGTGCTGGGAAGTATAGTCCTTCCCAAAAAACTGAATTTTTAACCAGCTTTTTAATCCTCCTGGAAAGCTGGGATTTATACTTGCTTATTGGGGGAGAATCCCTGCAACAAGCAGTTTTTGATACCAGTTTTTCAGGGGGAGCTCCTGTAATGTTGGCATTAAACACAGCTTGTTGGAAGGAGCTTCTGAAACATTGGGAGTAAACCCAGCTCATTGGGATGAGTTCTTGATTAGTTGGTATTAAACCCAGATGAAATCCAGTTTGTTTGGAGGAACACCTCCTAATTTGGTGTAGGCAGCCTAAACCTCATCAGGAGGGGTTCCTTGAAATGAGCTGGGCTGAATAACAGATTACCCAGAAGGAAACCTATGAACAAGCTGCTATCTGACACAGTTTTTTTGGGAGGGAATTCTCCAAACAAAATGCATTAAGTAATGGTTTTTCAGGAGGGATTCCCACCAACAATTTGATTTTAAATTCAGATCGTAAGGAGGAGTCCACATTCCCTCCCAGATGGCTGGTGTCAGAACCATCTTGTTGAGATCAATTCCTTCCAATTCAGGGAAGGCTCATGTTTGATTAAGGGGGCATGATAACCCCCTTGCGCACGCCAGGTGCGGATTGGTGTGTGCACCTGCACGCCAAAGCAAATTGGTGTGCGGGCCCGCACACCAATCTACAGAGTGTAGACCGGCGTGCAGGCCCGCACAGTGCACATCAAAGATTCCTAAATGCATATGTACACATATGCATTTAGGACCACTACCATCCCATAGGACCCAGGCATGGGTCCTATAGGACGGCGGCGGAGAATCCTGAGAAAAAAGAAAACAAAGAAAGGCTGGGAGGGGGTTCCTCGCAGCCTTAGACCATAAGCTCGTAGGTTCATGTCAGGAGGGTTTCCTCCCAACAAGATGGCTTTGAATACAGCGCATTGGGAGGAAACCCTCCCAATGACCTGGGCTTGAGACCAGCTCATCAGGAGTAAAACCTACCAATGAGCTGGACTGTGTAGCAGCTCATTGGGAGGAAACCCTCGCAATGAGCTGGTTCAAATCCAGCCCATTGGGGGAACCCTCCCGATGAACTGGGCTTAAGACCAGCTCATCAGGAGGAAACCCTCCCGGTGAACTGGGCTTAAGACCAGCTCATCGGGAGGAAAACTATTGATGAGCTGGTCTTAAGCCCAGTTCATCAAGAGGGTTTCCTCCCAATGAGCTGGACTGTGTACCAGCTCATTGGGAGGAAAACCTCTCAATGAGATGGTCTTAAGCCCAGTTCATAGGGAGGGTTTCCTCCCAATGGGCTGGATTTGAAACCAGCTCATTGGGAGGGTTTTCTCCCAATGAGCTGCTATGAGTTTATAGTCTTCAGGCTTTGAGGAAACCCCTCCCAGCCTTGTTTTTTCCCTTTTTTCTCATGATTCTCTGCCGCCGTCCCATAGAACCCATGAAAAAATCATCCTCTCGTGAATTCAATTTAGAAATTTTGTTGTCTCATGATTGAGTTTTTTAAAGCTCATCTTATTGATTGTATTGTGTTTATATGAAGAAATTACAGTTTTTTTAAATTTTATTAAAACTTGGGTAATTTTGAGGCTGTTTTTATTGTACTAGGGGAAATGAATTCCAGAATCTATCTGAATTTAGAACTGGAAATGATAAGTTTGATGAAATTGACTGGTGTGAGAGGATCTAAATCTACAAAGAATATCCTGATCTGATCAAGAGACTTTCAAACTTTTATGCTGGGGCTGCAGAAAAGATCATTCTGTGCTGATTCTATTTACTATTTCTGTAAATTAGAAGTGAAATAAAAAACTCATCACATGAGGAAACTCTAGTGACTTTGATAGTATTTTATTTTGAATTTTGTCTGAATGTTGAGTGAAAGATATTTGAAAATCAGTTCCCAATACTGTGAAAAATATGGGAATTTCAGGTTCGTTACCAAAGTGATTTTTTGTGATTTTTGTTTGATTTTATGGTGACATGCAGTCACTGGGCAACCAGTGCCCTGAAATTTCCCCTGGTGTCAGCCATTGAGAGTGTACACTCTCGACGGCCAAGGGTACACTCCCGGCCATCAAGAGTGTACGCTCTCGACAGCCCATTGGTGTGTAATCTGATTGGCCAGGAGGAATCCTCCCGGCCGCTTCTGTGGGGGTCTTTTGTTTCATCGACCCCCAAACCCTGGTTGGTTTTGGAGGATTGACTCCTATACCAACCGGGGAATTTCATTTTTTATTATTATTTTTTTTAGGGAGTCGACTCCCAAACCTGTCAAAGGTTTTGGGGGTTTGACTCCCATTTTTCGGGGATTCCGGGGCTTGGGAGTCGGCTCTCCATTTTTTGGGAGTCGTTTAACCAAGCCCCTTGTTTTATTCAAAAGCTTTGATATTCATTTTGGGGGAGTGGGAGTGCTTGGAGAAAGAAAGAATGGAACATGGGAAGAATGATGATAAATGAAAAAAAAAATTGAGCTAGTTTGGTTGTCCAGATTAATGGAGTCAAACCAATAAATTATAGTGCTTCACTACAATGTGGGCTAGTGGATGCCCCATTCAACAGCTGCTTGGGACCATCTGGTCCACATTTGGTTTCCAATTTTTTTATTTAAAATCATCCTTCTCATGACCCATTCTACAATTTATGAGCACTCCCACTCCCCCAAAAATGAATATCAAAGCTTTTGAAAAAAGAAACACAATTTCAACTTTGATTTTTGGACTTACTTCACACAACACAAACAACACTTTGCACACCAACCATCAATTTTTTTACAAATTGCTATTTTTTTGTTATTATTGCACTAGCTTAATCAACAGAAGAGGTCATCAGGGACCCCACAAAAAACATTTAGGGCCCCAGGAGCCCATCTTGTGAGTAAGAGAAAAAACAGATTTGAAAACAAAAAAAAACCTTCCAGGCCCAAGAGAGGCTGCTTATGCAACAGGGTGTTACTAAACAGCTTTCCTGTCCACACAGTCTTGATGGTCGGCTGGGAAGAATCCCTCCTGACCATGGAGAATGTACAATCTACATGGCCAGGAGGATATTATCTTGGACGTGGAGTCTGTATGGTCTCCATGGCCAACAACTTCAGGAGGGGCTGTAGGTCCAAGCTTAACTAAGCCTCGCCTGGACGCTCTCCAAAGGAGAGGCTTACATGGTAAGTGGGACTGGAGGCCTGAGGATTTAAGGTTTTCAAGTAGATTTTATGAATTTTTTGCTTAAAACCTGTGTACATAGGAAACCTCAGTTATATTTTCAAATCTGAGCTCACGAAATGTTAGCCTGGCATCTGGGCTGTATTCTAAAAAAAAAAAAAAAAGAAAATCTTGATATAAGCAAAACTGAGTCAGCTACCTCCATTCTAAGCAGGCCAGTTTGTGAGTCACCAAAACCTGCTTTTTGCAAGCTTCAGATCATCAGATCCTGCCCGCATGATTGGATAGGAGAGTATAAGAAATGTTGTGTTGTAGTTCAAAAGAATATGTGACAGTTTTGACAGTTTGTTGTTGTTGGATCTGCTTGCTCAGGTGCTGAGGTGGCATACCTGTCTCATCAAAAAACTCAAGAGATAAATACGTAAGTTCATAGGTGCCACAGTTGTCAAGGGAGGCGTAAGAACGGACAATTAGGGGGACATATCCGGTCAAGATCCAACCGGATTTCTTATTTCTCAGTTTTTATTGGGTTCAATATCTCCAGATTGGAGAGGGTTCACAAGAAGTGGCTGGCACCATGATGAGCAGAAAAATCATGGTTTTTTTTTCATGTCAAACAGCATTGTTAGGTTCAATGATGTACTGGGTCTTCCGGGGGATTTAGTAATGTATCCGGCAATTTGGCTGTATGCCCTCAGGCCAGGTGAGTGTCATTACAGTCAAACCTCTCTAACCACATACCCCTTGGTGGAAAGAATTTGTTATGTGGTTTGGCAGGTTATGTGGCTACAAGGGTAGGCTAAGGGCAAAAATGAAAATTTGGTGGACTCAAATGAGTATGTCGTATGGAGGTTTATGCCCTTCTACAGGTATGCAGTTAGACAGGTTTGACTGTACATACTCATTTGAGTCCACCAAATTTTCATTTTTGCCCTTAGCCTACCCTTGTAGCCACATAACCTGCCAAACCACATAACAAATTCTTTCCACCAAGGGGTATGTGGTTAGAGAGGTTTGACTGTATTTGGCTACATTCAAAAAAAAAAAGAACTAAAAACGTAAAATTCCTGGGTCCTTTTTTGCAGATGTCTGACAATGTTAACATGTTTATAAACATATAAAAAATCTTGATTTCTTTGTTATTTTTTGGAAATGAAATGCTCTTATTATACATTGACCTCAAGCAAGTGTGAGAAAAGAGAATGAATGTATTATTGGATGTTTAGGATGGAACAGTGAGAATGCGAGCGATAGGGGATTATCCAAGTGGGGAAAAAAAAGGAAAGGAAACCCGGAGAAGATGATGAAAGGAAAAGAAGAGATCTGGTTGGACGAAGCTACTTGACACGACGCGCAGATTTCCCGACGCCTTTAAACGATTTAGAGCCTCGTTTCTTAGCGCGAAAGACGGAGCGATTATACCACGCCTTCTTGACCACTTTCTTCGCCGCTCCTGGGGCCCCGTTTCTCTTGCCGGCTTTCCCCAACAACCGGTCCCAATCCTCGGTGGCTTGCGCTTGGCTTCCTTCGTCATTCGGCCCATCTTCCGAACTCAACCCTGCCATCTTCAGGACTACCAACCACAAAAGAAAACCCGCTTTTTATTAGTCCTTGTGTTCTTTTATTGTTCAACAACGACGACGATGGCAAGGGATGAGGGGAGGGAAAGAAGGGGAGAAATGGTACGGACAGACGCATCGTTTGGAAGCAGGCCAAGAGTCCATAAGCGGAGCGATTCCTGAACTCGAGCTCCCATCTTCATCCTCACTGTCGTCGATGACGAGCCCGATGTGTCTGATCTGATCTTCCTGGGAGGCTAGGAGGAGGCTTGGCTCGTGTTCTTGTTGAGGGAAGCTCGAGCCGGACTCGATCTGCTGGATCGTCAGCTCATCTTCCCATTCACTCAGCTCGATTCCTCCGGTTTTCTGGGCCGAACTACCGGCTATGCTGGGCTTCCATTTATCAACACTTTGCTTCGTCGTCGTCAATTCTTTCGATGGCATCTTCTCGTGATGATCCGGCTTTCTGGCCGGTCGAATAATCTCGATCGGCGATGAAGAAAACGGTTCAAAACTCTCATGTTCAGTAGGTTGCATTTCTTCTTCTCGTTCTTCTTCGAATCCCAAATCAGCTAACAATCTGTCTCTTCTTTCTTCTTCGTCTGTTTCGTCGTTCAAATCCTGACAAGGATCGATTTCACGAGCCTAAATAAATGGAGAAGGTTTGTATGTGAGAAATCTGTTTATTAGGTTTGATGAAAAATGACTGAATAAAGACGAGTACGTACCTTTCCTTTGGCTTTAGCTGAGCTATTCACGTGACACGACCTAAGCTCAGGTGGAGAAGGAGAAGAGTTGAACAGTTTTTGAGGAACGGGGTCGCGTGTTTTGTAAAAATCGTCGAAATCGCGCTCTGGAGGCAAGGATTCTGGATCGGAGTAGTGAGTTTCATCGATGTCATCAGGAGGAGGAGAGGGGAGATCCCGAGGAGGCGAGTCAGTTGAATCGGGTACTAGGACGCGACTTGATGGCTCGAATTGGACACAGGGAGAAGGCGGCGGTCGAACGGATTTGCGAGTGCTTGGTGGGATTGATTTTGGCTTGAATTTACGCGTGGATGAAGGGTTGATTGAGGGAGAGACGGTGGTGGATAGACCGGTGGAGGTGCAAGACCTGATTGGAGACGAGAACTCCAAGGGTGGAGGGAGTGGAGGGGGTGAGGTAGGAGAGATCGATCTGGTAGGAGAGTGCGTGTCCGCTCCGAGGGTCGTACTCGAGCAGATTGGGCTCCTTGGGGTGGTGCTAGTCGAGTATGGATGTGGTTTTAGATGGCCTGGTTGTCTGGGCTGTTTGGATGAGTGTGCTTGTTCCTTTGGTCTTCTGGGGATCGAGTCAGCCCAGATCCTAGGGGTCGTTGGTGTTCGGTTGTTGATGGGTGTTGCAGTTGTTCTGTTTGTTCTGTTTGTTACTGTTGGTGATGCGCTTGACTGTTTTCTGGTTGTTGGTTTCTTCATGAAGAAGTCGACCACCAGGCTGTCTTCATCCATCCTTGTTTCTTTCTTGTGATTTTTTTATTTTTCATTTTTTATTTTTTTGTTCTCATTTGCCAAAGCACTCCAACCAGTCAACACTCCAATCACAGAGTCTCCACACTGGCCAAACAAACAGATCCTGCAACTCCATGAATATGTACACCACGGCACTTGGGGAGATTGCACAAAAGACATCCCAGGTGTGCTCCACATCCATTTGAAAGAGAGACCCACCATCACAACTAACTTAACAAAGGCCCCCCCCCCCTGGTGGGAGGCTTGCTGGTGGCAAAGCCACCCCTCATGCAGGAGGGACTTATGTCTAAAGTCCCCCTGCTTGCCTGAGGGGATCTGTGAAAATCAACCCTTGAGTTACACAATGAGCAGCTTTCTTGTTGTTTGAGCTACTGTCTCTCTGTGGAGGGTGTGATTCTCGCCAGCTTTTGAGGTCGGAAAAGATACGAGAGAACTTGTTGAAGATTGTATTGCAGTAGAGAGAGCTCGTATTTATACTCGAGGGATGGAATAGAGACATCGGTTTGAGGAGAGAGAGTTACAAGATAGATGTGAGGAGTCCCATTAGATGGGACGACTAGTATTACAATAGGATAGAGAAATGAGACCGGACTTAGTTATATTCGGTCCGTCTTTAGTAAGTCTAATATACAAGATAGAGAGATAGGAAATACAAGAAGCGAGAGTGTAAGTAAGATAGCCGAGAGCGGCTGACGGTATACAGGAATAAGGAAACAGGTAAACAAAGGAAAGACCGAGAGCGGTCAATAGGGTGTTCAGCAGCTGGATAAGGCTCCGCTGGAGCCGTTACCTTATCCGGAAGCCGGGGCTTCACAAGGGAAAGATGCACTTGCATCTTGTGTTGCTTTCTCTCAAATCATTTTCAACCAAAAAAGAAAGAATGAAAGTTCATGTTACATGGAAAGCTTGAGCCAGACCAGGGTGAGATGGAAGAAACCCAGACCAGGGTGAGATGGAAGAAACTTCACTGCTTCAAGAATTATTTGAAAATGAATGGTGTGGAAAGTAAGGCACATCTGTGGAGATTCATTGTACTTCTCTTCTTGGAAAAGCTATCTTCCTCCATTTTTTTGTCTGGGGTGACTTGCCTGATGGTCTTTTTTGGTAAGGTAAATTGTTTATTGCTCTCTAACTATTCTTCTGAAGAATGCTAACTACAAATTTCTCTAACACTTTTTTCTAGGCTAATAATAATATTAATACACCTCTTTCTCTTGATTTTCTGATTTGTTCTAAGTTATGTCTCCCCCCTCCCCCCTTCCCTTCCTTGCTCCAAAAACCCCTCCTCTTTCTTGTACCCCTCAGCACCAAAATGAATTTTGATTGGTGAAAAGCAAAAAGATCAAAAATGAAAATGAAAATTGGCCGAGGTGCTATGGTACTGGCCCTCAAATTTACAATTACTGGCCAAGGCTCAATTCTGGTGACAAAAGTCTCATCAAAACTGCAAGACTATGTAGACATCCTAACTGTGGAAGCGCCCAGCCAATTCTGAATTAACTAAGTCCCTCTATCATGGGAGGTGGGACACCGTCCCATAGGGACCCTCTGCAGGAGGGACTTGTGTGCTAAGTTTCTCCTCTGGCCTGAGAGGATTAGAAAATTCAGTCTAGTCTAGGTTTTTGATCCTTTCTCCTGCATCCACTTATTGGTTGCTGAATACAAAGTCACTCACCAATAGGGGGGGCTTTTCCAGGGGAGTATTTGTATCCTATTCTTGAGTTTGTGAGGCCACTTGAGCCTTTCCAACATTCACTTTTTGGTTTTCATCTTTGACTTACGAGTTGCAGGATACTCCTGTATTCAGTGCCACATGTCAAATACAGGAGCTCAATATTCATGAGCTCAAGAACAGTGGAACAGCTGTTTCTCCATTAAGCTGGTGACTTCAAGAGAAATTGAAGACATAGCCATGAGGGGGACAGATGGGCCATCAGATGTGCAAAGACGAGAAGGAAAATGATGCATAAATGAACGGTGGAAACGGCCCACGGGTTACAAAAAAGTCACCAGCAAAACCCTTCAATTATGATCCTCTTGGGCCACCGGGGCAACATATAATTCCCTCCGGCAAGCCATCGGATGAAACTGCCGAGGGGACCTGCCGAAGTTAGGGCCAATTGGACTTTGCAACGTCAAATATGAGGGTGGGGTCAAGCTGGTATTTTCCAGTGGAGAGTGCTACTCGTTACAATATATCCCTACCAAGCGGCCGCTTCGTGGTTCACAGTTGTACATATTTATCTCCCTGCACTCCCCCCACTCTTACCCCAAGTGGGCATGGTGCAGAGTTCTTCCCAGGTCGGCAGCCGACTATGTAATTTGAGTTTGACTTGAATTCATCTGCCAACATCACCAACGTGTTTGGAGGACAGGATTTCTCCGTCTCTCAAGAATACCATCTCCCTTCTTGCCTCAGGTATACCTTATTCTTCTTACTTGTCTGGAGAATATCATCCATCTTTTTAAGTGTGGGGAACCCAAGTCCTATGGACACCACACGCAAAGAACCCAACAGTCTCACCACACACGAAAACATTTACGTGTATCTGGCCCTACCGACCCGCCTTGTTGGCACATATAAGCTTCGGCTCGTCTGGTTCCTACCCCCCATCCCGCACGGCTTCAGTTTGTTCTAAGCTCGACAAAGATGCTATCTCTATCAAATAAAATGCTTTTCTGGGTCCTTTTGCACGCGATAGGGATGACTCAACATGCGATAGTGGGTATGACTACAGAGGCTCATGTCGGCGAACCACTTGGTGAGCCCTCCTGAAGAATTCCTCTTATTTAAATATCCTTCGCCGCTGTCGATTTTTTCGACTAATTATTAAGTCTTTGATTGTTTCAGACCAGTTTTCGGAAGTTGGTCGCGCAGCATCGAGAACCAAGAGCGGAACTGGTTTGTTTATAGAACCAATCGATCACGGGAAGCTTGATGGGAAAAAACAGATTGTCGATAATAATCACGAGCATGGAAATATTCCCGAGGGGTTGGAGGCAAGGAAAGGTGAGTGTATTCATCAATTTCTTTCACCTAACCCCGGGTCTCACGGCTAAAACCATCTCACTCCCATTCCAATGACCGCTTGACGCAGTTGAGATGCAATGGATGGTGAAGGAACGTAATCAACTTTGGGATTGGATTGATTATCTCTCACCGCCAGAATCCTCAAGAAAACTCTCTGGAATGAAAAAGGAATTAGCACAGCTCCATCGTGCTCTTGTAAGGCCCACTCATGAGAGAGTGTACAAGATGGGTGGACATGAGCTTTCCGAGGAATTCCTCGCGACCAAACCATGGGACTCCCAGCCAGCCGCCAGCAGGGCCAACAAGATCCGTGAAGAGGATAAAAAAAGCTATCTTCAATCGACCCGGGATCATCTGCAATTTGTGAAGTTGAAAGCTGGGCAGAGATCAGCTTCATCCCTCTCCCAGCCGCTCCTTGAGTCCCACGAAGCGTATGTTCGAACTCCACCGATCTCGCCCAAGAATCACCTATCTTCGAGCAGTCCCTGGATGCCTACGGAAGCTGGAAAACCACAAAAAATCCTCACAGTTTTCGAGTTCGCTCTAAAAGAAAAAGATATTCCAATTGGCGACTTGCACGTATGGAAAGCAACCTGTTAGATGGTAATACCTTGGTAGAAGGCTACACCGATTCTAAAATTGTTGAAAGTTTCAATTCTTTACAAAACAAGATTATGGGGTTTAGATCGGTGAACAGAGTCCTTGGTCGCACCGAAAAGATATTCCAGCTCAAAATTTTGGAAACTTGCTATCATTTGGCCGATCATGTTAAGCGGTATCGACTGTTGTCTTCCGAGTTCCTCAACGAGATTGAACTCTTCAAGGCAAAGTCTGTCAAAGAGATGGTCGGGCTCCATTTGCAGCTTGTTTTACGCAGGTGGGGGGAACAGTTTTTTGACGCTCCTAACTCGATAGTTCCGGAGCTAGAATTTTTGACGTCCAGTCCGACGACAGCTCACTTTCACAGGTCCATCGAGGGTGAGCTTTTCGTCAGCATTCATTTCTGCTTATCAATACTGACGAGCACCTTCTCCCACAGCCCTTCCTGCTGAAGATCAGAAGGAGATTGTCCAAATCGTCCTGAATACCATATTGATGCACGCGTCGGATCACCTCCCTGCGGAGTCGAAGGAGAAGGAGAGTGAACAATTTGAAAGAGCTCGCAAAACATTTCTCCAGGTCAACTTGTACGAGCGAGCGCAAGGAACTCGCGCCAAAGACACAAAGCACCATGGCGAAAACCAAAATCGATCAGTCGTCAATTTGACCAGAGATCTCATCCAATTATTTCAAAAGCCCGAAATGAGCACTACGAACGCATACCGACGAAGAATAGAATTTCAACTGGTGTATTACATGTTAGATTTTTTGAACAGACATCATCATCGGATCCAAAAGACAATCGAACAGCCCGAGGGGGACTACTTGCTTCTGAAAGATCAACTCAAATTCATGAGATCTTTCCTGGGACGCTTCCGGAACATCTACCAAGGCCAGACAACCAGCCCGAAGAACGTCAACACGTTGCGAAAACTGACAAAGAAGGCCAACTCAAGTTCTTTGGAAGATCGCCCCTTCAGCAGTTGGATCCATGGGTACATCTTGCCTATTTTTTCTTATAGCAGCTGGCTAACTTTTCAAGTGACAGATAGAGGCCAAAAAAGAAGTGCTTGGTTGACTGCCTATCCACTGAGAGACTTTATTGAGTTATGAAGTCCACATGGACTGTGGATGCAACAGTCACTAGCTAATATCTGTTTGAAGCAATTCAATCTCTGTTGGATGGCTACTTAGGAGGATTTCTGTTCAAAAAGTCAATAAGTGTATTTATCAAATTATAAAAAATAGTATTTGCCCCCAAATTTGGGGAGTTTGACTTGTTGACCTTGTTTTTGCCCCGAATGTTGGGTTTTTTAACTCAATGACCTTTTGACCCTTTGTGTCAACAAATGTGAATTGGAGGTCAACACCTGTGTTATATTGCATCACACATTTTTGGCTCTCTGATCCTATTCTTTTAGTTATACAGTGAAAAATTTCTAAGGGCATAATCTGCTAAACTGCATGTGAAACATCTGAGACCAATCTGTCATTTGATTGCAAATTTAATTCCCATAAGGGCATAACCCCTCTAAGGGCATCAGACCATAGCACTTCGAATCGAATAGTGAGTCGAATACTCGAATTGATTCGATTCGAGTTGAATAATGCTGGCTGATTTTTTGGCTTGAATATTCGACTGAAATCGAATAATTTTAGAGATTGACATCCGGGGCCTTTGGGGCCCCAGAGGAGGTTGCAAAGAGTGTGTATGGGGCCACGGGGACCCTATACACACCCCCTAACCGCCCTATACACAACCGGGGCCACTGATATCACATATCCAGATACCCAGCTCGGCTCCAACTCAGGTTATCAGACAGCTTCAACTGACTACGGACCTTGGCCACCAACCATGGCACCTGCCAGCGATCCCCCACCCTCAGCCAAGTCAACTCCAGAACCATCGAAGAGAACAAAATCCTCGGGAGTTAACCAATCAGTGATAGCGAGCTCGTTTTTTGGCCCCGCCGATGGAAACGGGAAACGTGCCTGCTTGATCGACAACTGTGGCAATACTCTAGTCTCAAACAAGTCGACCAAGGCCAACTTTGTGAATCACGTTGCTCAGAAGCATCCTGGAGAATGGAAACTAGCACTCGAAACAGCTGAAAATTCTGAAGAATGCCTTGAAACTCCACAGAGCTCTGGAACCCTAGCCACTTCCCAGAAAATGCCCCGATCTCAAACAAAAGGTCCTCTTCAACAAATCATGCTCAAGTCCCGACAGTCCAATTTTGACACAAACATCATCAACTGGATCATTGAAGATCAACTCCCCTACGCCAAAGTCAAATGCCCTGCTTTCATCAAGATGATACATGGGCTCGATCCTGGGATCACCATCTTCAGCGAGCATACGGTCTCCTGTCAAATCAAGGCCCTCTATGCCGATAGTAAACCAGTTGTATTCAGTTTCTTGAAAAACCAATCCGAGCGCTTCTCTTTCACCACCGATATCTGGTCCTCAGCTGGCGGAACCCCTTATATCTCGCTTACTTGCCATTTCATCTCAAAAGACTGGAAGGCCAATTCTGCAACGATCGGCTTTAAACCATTCCGTGAAAAACATACCGGCACCAACATCCACGACAAGATCCTCCAGATCTTTGAAGACTTCTTTTGCCACAAACTGGGCTCGACGTCAAAAAAAAGAAATGCCATTCAGATCGATGATTCTGACAAAGAATCTAGCTCATCCGATTCCGATGACTCCGATGGGAATGAAGATGACGAATCAGGATCTAATCTTCCATCAACTGATGCCCTCGATCTCTCGTATCTTGGCCAACGAATCCTCACGATCACTTTAGACAACGCTTCAAACAACGACAAATTCATTCAGACTGCCCTTGACACAAAACTTCTCAGCTCTCCTGAATCTCACATCCGCTGTTTTGCACACATTCTCAACCTCGTGGCGACCGAGGTTCTCAAAGTTGTTGAGGCTTCTTTAACGAAACTTCGTGCCGTCGTTTTACATATCCGACAGTCTGATCAAGTATATAGCACCTTCCAGGATCTTTGCTTGGAAAACAATGTCAAACAATCGAGACCGATCATCAACAACGCCACACGCTGGAACTCTACCTTCAACATGCTCGATCTAGCCCTTGTTCAAAGACCGGCAATTGACGACCTCATATCCTCCTACATGAAAACTAACCGAGCTAGTCAAAAGGGAAAGAAGAAGAAAAAAAAATCGAAGAAGGGGAAAAGTGGCTCTGGCCAATCTCAAATTGTTGAAGCCGTGCAGGAGGCTAATGATAAGAAAACTCGTGAGATGGTAAGTACACTTCATTAGTCTATTTCCGATTGATATCGATCACTTCAATTACTGATACCAGATATAATAACAGGAGGCAATAAGCAACGATGATTGGAATCTCTTTGAGTGGATTCACAAACTCTTGGAGAAATTCGAACAGGCCTCAATCGACACCCAAGGCGAATTCTACGCAACTCTCACGATTGTGATCCCATGGTACAAGGTACTCACGGACCACTGCAAAGAAACCATCAAGAAATTCACCAAATCTCGGCGTCCCATGAGATCGGTCATGATTGAAGCAGCTAAAGCTGCCATTGAGAAACTAGACGGCTACTATTCGGTCCACTCCCAACACTCTATACTCGCGGTTGTTTTGGATCCGCGCTTCAAGCTCACCTTCTTCGAACAACAGCCCTGCGATGATGCCAACGACGGCGACACCAACACCAACAATGCTGAGCCAACCCAGATTCAGTTCAAAGACGAGGCCTTGAAGGTATTACGAGAGGCATTCAAGGATTACTCAGCAAAATGTCCAGTGAAGTCAAAAGCGAAGTCTAGTTCAACAGGATCCGATCCCGTTTCCAAGAATAAAGACAAACTCCATCCGTTGCAAAACTACAAGAAAACATCCAAGCCGACTCCAAACGACGAAATTACCACCTACCTGCAAATGCCCGAACCTGCTTTTGACAAAGACATCATCGAATGGTGGAAGGAGAATCAGTATCTCCTTCCAACACTATCAATGATTGCCAAGGACTATCTTGCGATTCCAGCCAGCTCAGCAGCGAGCGAGCGTGTTTTCTCACAGTCAGGTAATCTAGTAGCCATCAAAAGAGTTTCTCTCTCTGGTGACTCGGTTGAATCAAACATGTGTATGCGCTTATGCGCTCTTGGCTCTGGGGGAATCTAGTAGATGTAGCTTGGAAATTCATTAAAGTCAACTAGTAGTTTTCCCTTTTTCTATTTTTATCTCTATTTCATCTCTTACTCTTTATACATATGAAAAATACATGATCTACTAAATAAATATTGTAATACATGACTGCAAAAAATGAAATACAGAGCTTGCTATTGACTAAGAATGTCAAAACACCCAAAATAAGTGACTTTTGGGGTTTTTCGATTGAATATCTCCGAATACTCAAATATTCGTCGAATCAGTATTCGAGGGCCCCAAAAAACATGTCGAATACCACCGTGCTATGGTCTGAAGGGCATGGCAAAATCTGGTGACCAAGAGGTATGCCCTTACAAGGTTTTGACTATATGTAGATAAAAAACAATTATCAAAAAATATTTCTCACACCTAATTCTGATTGTTTAAAAATCTACATTCTGTTGAAATTACAGCTGTAACAAGAAAGCTTGCGGGCTCTGAAGTCAGAAAATAAAAAAATCTACATTCTGTTGAAATTACAGCTGTAACAAGAAAGCTTGCGGGCTCTGAAGTCAGAAAATAAAAAAATCTACATTCTGTTGAAATTACAGCTGTAACAAGAAAGCTTGCGGGCTCTGAAGTCAGAAAATAAAAAAATAAAAAATCTACCAATCACATTTGGAAGTTTTGAAAGAATACAGGTTCATCTATGGATGTATTATGTTGGGTGAAATTTGCTATCTTTTTGTTCTCTCATCTTCAGGTGATGAGAGTAACATGATCTGAATCCTGATGCAAAGTTCACTCCAGCGGCCATCCATCCCCAGCATGAGCTACTGGTGAGCTCCCCCCATGGGGGCTGGTCAGGTCCCACTGGTGCTGCTGGCAGGTATATGGCAGCCTGTACTCCTGTCTGTATCCTTCCTAACGTTCCGACTGCAGTTTTTTTTGGATATTCTGACTCAACAGTCACAAGCTTTTTTGGTTTAGCTGTACAGCCACTGAGATAAGAGGTAAGGCTTGCCTGGCAAGCCTTATGGCTTTCAAAAATTACACAGAAGTCTCTTGAATCTCTGTTGAGTGCAATGAATCAAAAGGAACATTAAATGTGTGTGATATCAGCCTGGAGGTCCAAGAACACACTCCAAATGTTTGGAGTGAAGCTCTGTGTACTCCAAATGTTTGGATCAAAGCTCTGTGTACAGTGGGTGGACCGTTATTTTTGGCTGCTTGTTTTGGATTCCAGAGCTTCAAAGGAAAAACTTGAAGTCACAAGAATTGGTGAAGTGGTGCAGAATAGGTCCCAAAGAATGAATATGAAAAAATCAAAACAAAAATCAAAGTTTCAAAGTTTGTGAAAAATGAAAAATAAAATTTATTTTTCTCAAAAGCTTTGAAATTCATTTTGGGGGATTGAGAGTGCTGGAAGAAAGGAGGATTGGGATACTAGAAAAATGATTATGAATGAAAATTTTGGAAAAATTGCTTTCCAGATGCCTTCAAAGAGCTTTTGATTGGGGCTTTCACCAGCCCACATTGCAGTAAAGCACTAAAATTTACTGTTTTGGCTCCAATCTGGACACCCAACCTGGCCAAACCTTTTTTGGTTCCAATTTTTTCATTTATAATTATTCTTCCCATGTTCCACTCTTTCTTTCTCTCAGCACTCCCACACTGCACCCATGACCACATATCCAGTACTGGATATCCTGTAAAAAATTGGGGATATGCTGTCATCAACACTTTCTGTTTCTTTTTTTCAGTAATTCCTTTGGTGTTTCATATAAATTCTGTAACTTTTCTTTACATTTACTGAAAAGTTACAGAATAGTTACAGTTAACTTGAAGAAAAGTTACCAAAAATTTACAGAATGCCCAAAATGAATCACAGAAAAAAAAAACAGGAAAGTTTGGTGAAGTTACTTTAACTTTTCTGTAAGCTTTCTGTAACTCTTCTCTAACTTTTCTGTCACTTTGCATTAAATTAAAAGAA